TACCGTGTTTGGTAGACGTGGTGTAACACCCCGTTTGGATTTCTTTTATCCAGTTCTCGTTTTATCTTCCGTTGTGCTAGTTTTGTCGTATAATCTGCATGTGTTAAGGCTTTTACCTAGCTTGTTTGGGGGGTGTTACACATAACATGTCCCGATTTTATATATCTTTTATTGCTTTATGTATTGATGATTAGATGTTTTTCCTGTGCATTTAAGTTTTAAAAATGTGGTAAAAATCAGGAGTGCTACAGGCGTCGCACCACCACCTCGACCCACCCAGCCGTGCAAACGCCACGCCACTGTTGCCCCTCTCGCCGTCGACCACGCTGGCGACGCCTCCTCGCCGTGATACACCACCGCCGAGCCCACCGGAAAGTTCCCCGGAAAAATCAACCCCTCATCCGTAGCCACTTCCTAAAATCCCTACAATGTCGAAGAAATCCACCAACGCCCAAGTCCCGGAGTGGAACAATGCCGACTACACGGTGATCGGAGGTAAAGCACTCGAACCCGACCAATTCTCTCCGGTGTTGGTCGATATGCTTAGATTCCAAGGCCTTTTGGATACCTATCTCACAATTAAAGGAGATACGTACTCCGAATTGGTAAATGATTTCTATTGTCATTTGGTGGCTACCACGGGGGGACAAGTTGGAGATCACCTCCAAGGTCCGGGGTAAGGAGATAGTGCTCTCCGAGGGTCGCATGGCTAAACTCCTGAAATTGACCACCACGGGTGTATCGAACTATGACCGAAAGGCATGCGTCAGTACCCGAGACACGGGGTACACAGACTATCTCGGGTATTTGTTGGGGAGAGAAGGCGGTTTTACTTCGGCCACAAGGCCAATCAAGAAATTACTAACCGTCGAGCAGAAACTGCTAGTTATGATTGTGTCTGACAGCTTGTTGCCCACCAACAACAAGAGCAAGGACGTGGGGGGCCTGGAATGTACCTTTGCCTATTTCCTTAAGCATAAGGTCAAGTTCAACCGGCTCAGCTTACCCTAAGGGATGATCCTAAGTTGGATCATGGAAAGAAAGGGAGTGGACCTAAGCCGGACAGAAGCCAGACCCATGAGTGGAATGGTTTTTAATGCCCAAAACCTACGCCGCAATGACATCTACCATGTTGGAGAGGGACAGTACAACACCCTCGAGGAGGTTTGCCTGAAATCCCCGGAAGAACAACGAGTGTTGGTTGATCAATTGGAGATCTCTAACAAGAAACTGAAACGAGCAATGCAAGAAAGTGAAGAACAAGAGGAGCAGGAAGAAGAAAGCGAGCCTAGCCAGCCTGAACCCGCACAAGGAAGAGAAAACACGCAGGACCGAGACGAGAGGTCCATCAATGAGCGCATCCTCGCACAGCTCACAGGGCAGAATCGGATCATGGATGACAGATTCTCGCGACGAGCTCACCATGTTGGGCACACGTGGAGCTTCAATCTCAAGAGCGGGAAACCAAGGTATACTCAAAATCTCAAATGCTACTTGCCACCGACCTAATCAAACCCCACTCTACCCTCGTTAAATGACGAATTTGAGCCACATTTCCTTAATCATGAGACCAAAATTGCATGACATCTAGGAATAAAGGAGTAATATGTGCCTGAGCTTCAGGGACGAAGCTCCTTGTAAGGGGGGGAAGGTGTGACACCCCGTGTTACGGCCTTTAATCCCAGACTAATCATTTAATCAATCTCGTTAATAATAATTAAAGAGGGCTTAAAACTAGTTAGGATTCCCTTCAATTAATTAGTGTGGTCCATAATGGACCATGGACCCTTATCCATAAACCAAATCCTTAATCCTATAAAAGATAGGATAAGTGGACCTTTACTATTCATACCCTAGTTGGGACTCCTAAATCTATATATAGGGACTTAGAAAGCATTTAGAAACCCTACCACAGTTAATTCTACCACACAAGATATTCCCAGAGAGAAACCTAAAGAGGAATCTCCTGCCACCAAACATAGGAGGATCCACGGGAAGAAGATCTTAGAGAAGAACCTTAGTAGCCAAGGATATTGATTAGGGCTAAGAGGTAACCCATGTCTCGACAAAACCTATTTTCCTTGCTATATCTTATTCATTAGCTCCTTTGATAATCGTATGTGTAATTCTGTGATTGAGTCTTGATAGAGCCTTGCTTAGGGTTTATGTTGTGTTTATGTGATAATCTTGATGTTCTTGATACTATGATTGATTATATGAATGATCTTGTATTTTGATTATGTCTAGAGTCCTAGGGTTTATATCGTGAATTTCGTATTATGATGTTCTTGGTATATTTGGTTGGGTATATGCATGATCGGGGGTTGAGTCTAGCCTAGGACTTGTGTTTAGGACTTTGCATATAGATTTCTTGATATTCTTGTGGTTCCGGATGCTCTGAACTGTTATTTGATTAGTGTAGAGTTTTTGTCTGTTTAGGAAATCGTGTTAGAACGTATTTGGTGTGATTCTTGATTTAAATACGTTAATTGAATACGTGGTGTTGTCCTTATGTGTTTGAATGTATTTGTACATGGTTTCGGGTTCCACGAGGGATCCCGGGACCAATAGTTGCCTGTGAGTCAGTGGGGATAGGTGGGGGCAGGGGTGCCCGCCACCTACCCGCTGCTCCTTGCCCGGTTTCCAGCGGGCAGGCGACTGCCCGCCGGGCACCCGCTGGAAAGGTTGTGGGTGTCGTGTTGTTTTCCCCCGTTTGTTATTTCCACGTATTTCGTTGTGTCCTGTTGTACCCCGTTTGTCGTGTATCAGTCTCGTTTGGTGTTTTGAGTATCGTTCTAGGAATTTATGTTTAATACGTGTCGTTGGTGTTATGTCTTGATTGTTATTTGATTATGTGTTGTTTGATTGGATGATGATGAGTATCGTGATCATTGCGCAATGGCCAGTGTGGCTGATGATGATGATGGTGATGAGATTGTGATTGGTGGAAATGAATTGTTGGCGGTTAGCACCACTTGTGCCCGGTCATTGTACTAAAGGTACAGCCCATAGCGGTGACTGTGCTAAAGGCACACACCAACCTTAGACTTGCTTGTCGTTGAGCCTGGGTCAGGTTATAAGTGCTGCGGTGTCATGTTAGAGCTATATGCGCTAACCCCTTGGTAGTGGCACTAGAGGTGCGGATCATTGAATGGCACTGCGACACCATCTTGATATTTTGGTGGTTGAAAGGTGGTTTGTCGGTGGGGGCATGTAGTTGCCCGGAGGCATAAGGGGTGGTGATATAAGGGTGGCCTGGAGGTATAGGTTGGAACTGATATAAGGACGAAGGTGAGCTACAAGGTTGGAACTTGGTATAAGGTTGGAGGATGAATTGTGTGCTTGATGACTACTTTCTAATGGATTGTATTGAATGCCTGTGTTGCCTCTACTTATTACTTGTATGCTTATCTGCCTGTCATATCTTATATTGCATGCTTAGGGTGCCTGTTAGTTCTTATGATTATCCTATGATATTGAGTCTGTTGATATGCCTTGAGACGTAATCTTGGATTTAAACTAGAGTCTCGTAAGTATATATGTATTCCAGTTTCAAATGAATTTCTTATATCTACCTATATTGTACTTAACGCGTTGGAGTGGGTTACCAGCATTATTCGTTGACGGTTGTTACACCGAATGTTTTTCAGGTAATGAGCATCAGCTTCGGAGCGCGCTAATCAGAGTCTTGGACTTAGATTAGTTATCCTTAGCTCAGTAGTTGGCTTGCGTGCCTTGGGATTGTATTTGAATATTGAATTAAGACTTTATGATGCTTAGTTAACTTAGCCTGTGCACCTAGGTTCTCAAACCTAGGTGTGCCATATGGTTAGCTCTATGCCCTGTTTGGGGATTCGATTAATGGATTTGTCTTTATTTTATAAGTTTTAAATATCTTTTTTTTTCACTTTTAACATTTAAAAAAAAAATTATTAAAAGCCAAATGCTAAGGTCCAAGAGTGACCAAAGCTACAAAGATACAGATGAATAGAGTAAGGCCTAAGGCTAACAAAGCGAAAGGAATTAACTCTAAACCACCAAGTGGGCCCAACACCCATTCTGCAGACCATATACAAAGCTGGACAATTCCTGGGCGTCATGCCCTACACAAAGGGTGGGAACGGTGTTCCAAAAGCCAAGAAAGACTAGTTCCACCCTCAAGCGTCAGGTCGGTCCCCCGCGGTACAGAGCTCTGCATTTTTATCCAAAGGGACCTATGTGACCATCCACAGAAGCAATGAAACCAGCCCCCAGAAACCCTACCTCCCTCATGCGTTGGACAGATCCCCTCCGGTACAGATCTCTGCATTTTTATCCAGGGGAACCGTGAATAGTCCGCTACATGAGCAATGGTTCTCACCTCCACCCACCCTTGGAACCCAGGTCACCCTCGTACGTACAGAGCTCTGCATTTTATCGCATAGGGCTTCAACGGCCCAAAGTCCCAAGCGATGGCACCCTAACCACTGATGCCAACATATATACCACCCTTAAGCGTTAGACCAGCTCCCTCAGTACAGCGCACTGTATTTTAGCTCGGGGAACCTGTACGGCCATCCACAGAAGCAATAGTATATAAGCTAAGCACCAGAAACACCCACCTCACACCCACCCAACCCTTTTTAGTCCAGCCTTTCTTCCAACCACCAAACTCAAGGTTTTTCTCATCTTTTTTTTTTTCTTTTTTTTTTTTTTTACAGACTAAGAGAGCACTCCCACCTCAGAGTGTATGTTATGCATGAAACACAAGAATCAAGTCCCGCGAGACACATAGCCACATATATGGGCAGAATAGGCAAAGAGAGCATAGAGCAGACAGAGAAAACCCCCAAAGCTGGAAAGCCCCCTACGCCCTATGCCGGCAAGGCCAATCTACTCCACTAACCCAACAGAAAACAAAAATAACATGTAAGTACAAGATTAATATGAAAGCATAATAAAGTAGTGGCTCGCAGGCCCAAAATACAGGCACGCAGGCCCACAAGCAAAATAAAACATAATCAGGGTGGGTCTTCTACGTCAAAGAAAACATAGGGCACATCATCATTAGCCAGCATAACACGCACCCTGGATGGAAGCTCAACTAAACATGAAAAACGAGTCTCCCCTGGCTCGGCAACAACCCAGTCAGCTAGGGCCTGTGTTGGCAAGTTAGCCCTAGATGGGCACAAAGTGGAAGATACAGACCCACATGAACACAGGAAACGGAGGCGGGATACAACCTCATCTAACGCCCAAGGCGGCCGGATCGAAACATCAAGATAGCATCCCAGGTCCCCTATCGTGGACTCCATAACAATCTCCACATACCCTCCAGTGAGGCACCACTGTAGACAGGAGGACAAGACCCGAAACATTCCTTGGCTATGCTCCCCTTGGCCAGACCACGCCAATTAACTTGATTTGGTTCATAATGAATCACCATACATTGATACCTCTTATAATTTTGAATTGAAAAAATTAAAGAAAAGAATATATTTACTAATTCAACTAATATTTTTAATCAAATAAATTAAAGTAATTACATATCCTACTATCCTACCATATAATAAAGCCATAAGAATTCAGTCAATTACATTGCTTCATTTTTCAGCCCAATAGAAGTGACGTCGTTTGGCCCTTACAATGCTGCGATCAGATACTTTTAATTACCTTCATATTTTAACTAATTGTATTTGTATTGGAATTAAATTAAATACTTAACTTATTATCAGCCACTTTTTTTGTTTCCCAAATTTGTGGGAAGTTGTTCCTCGTAATACTAATTTTGTAGGCCGCTGTGTCAAATCAATTCAAAATCTGGAAGAAATAAACTTTGCGCAGCGTTTTTTTTTTTTTTTAAAATAAAAATTCGCACCAGCCTGGCATTTGTATTTCGTCGCTAGGGTGGTTGCCCATAGAGCCTTTGATTCCGTCCTGAATCTCCAGCAGAGTTTGGTCATGAACGCAATGTTCATCTCATGTAGTTTTCTTAGACCGAGGCCACCATTCACCCTTCCCGTTGTAACCAAATCTCAACTTACTGGACTCATTTTTTTTCCCCTGTCAGCTCATTTCTACCCCATATAAAGCGTCTGGTCCTTTTTTCAATTTCATCGCAAATTCCTTTCGGGAGTGCTGCGGTCTGCATGGTGTAAACCGGGATAGCGTTCAGAACAGATTTCGCTAATGTGACTCTCCCGGCAAGCGACAGAGTTTTGGCCTTCCACCCTTCCAACCTATGCGCAATGCGCTCCAAAAGGCCAGCATAAGTATTGCAAGTCACCCGGCCATGGATGGATGGCACTCCTAAGTACCTTCCCAAGTCTGTTGTTGTAGCTATACCCAACTTGCCCGCAATCACTGTAGCCACTTCTGGGGTCGTGTTTCTTGAAAAGTGGACCCGTGACTTACTGAGACTGATTTTCTGCCCAGAGACCTTACAAAAGGAATCCAGACAGCTTTGCACAATATCCACCTGAGCCACCGATGCCTTGGTGAAAAGTACCATATCATCGGCGAAGCATAAATGAGACAAGATTGGCCCGTCTGGAGCCAATTTGATTCCTTTCCAATTCCTTTTAGTGACCTCGGACAGGATTAAATGACTGAGCCGTTCCATACACAAGACGAAGATAGCTGGGGACATGGCGTCTCCCTGACGAATACCTCGTTCGGGCCTGAAATATTCTAGTCTTTCCCCATTCCAAATGATTGCTAACCTGGAAGTTGAAACGCAAGACATAATAATTTTAACCCAACTATCATTAAAACCTGCCTGTACCATAGTGTCCTTGATGAAATCCCACGACAGCCTGTCGTAGGCTTTTTTCAGGTCCAGTTTAATGGCCATGTATCTTTGCTTTCCACGAGCCTCCCGCATGGTGTGCATAACTTCCTGGTACACAATCACGTTGTCCGTAATCTGTCTTTCTGGGACGAAGGAACTTTGGTGCGGTCCTATAACCTAAGGCAAGATACACTTTAACCTGTTAGTAATTGTCTCGGTCAGGATTTTATAACTTACATTGCAAAGGCTAATAGGCCGAAACTGTTTAATCGTGTCGGGGGACCGGACTTTTGGAATTAGCGCGACGAGCGTATCATTCAAACCTTCCAGGATCTCACCAGATTTGAAAACACTTCGGACCAAATTGAAAATGCTATCTCCCGTTACTTCCCACGTATGCTGATAGAAGCCCGCCGGTAAGCCATCCGGGCCCGGGGCTTTGAACGGTTTCATGTCAAAGACAGCCTTCTGCACTTCCTCTTTTGTGACCTCCCTATTAAACACCCGTCTGTCTATGCGCCTAATCCTAGGGAAACGTGCTTCAATATCGAGCACACTTGTCACCTCCGTGTCTTCGGTGAACAGAGCATCATAAAAGTTCCTAACATGTTCTCGTAGCCCTTCGCCCTTAGTGAGCCAGTTCCCATTCTCGTCTATCAACTTTATTACCTTTGTGCGTGACTGACGGACAGTTGCAGCCGCGTGATAATAAGCGGTGTTTCTGTCCCCCGACGTTATCCAATCTTCCCTTGATCTTTGGAACCATAACAGCTCCTCTTGATACAAGGTTTCCTCCAGCTCAACTTGTAGCTTCTGTTCGAGCTTATATAGACCTCTATGATACTTATTAGCAAGAATCCGTTGGATTCCTCCAAGCCTGGAAAGCAAAACTTTCTTCTCTTTGAAGATATTCCCAAACACCTCTTTATTCCAGTCAGAAAGGCCATGTGCAACCCTTTGAACGTTGTCGGCCAAATCCCGATCCGTGTTTCGCATCCTCTGAACAACCTTCGTCAAGTCCTGGTGAGTAAGCCAAGCAGCCTGAAAATGAAAATGGAAAAGGTTAGTGGGATTGCCCCTTCGGCTCCCGTGTAGCCGAAGCAAGAGCGGGGCATGGTCCGAAGCAACCCTAGGCAAATGCTCCACTTCAGCATACGGGAACCTAACTCGCCAGTCAATATTACACAAGGTCTGGTCAAGCCGAGCCCCCTTTGTAGCACCCGTCGGTCCATTCTTGACCCACGTCAACCTGGGCCCCGAAAATCCCAAGTCAATGAGACCTTCATCTTGGATCCAGTTGACAAAATCCGAGCTCCTTTGGGTAGAGAACGAACTATAGTTAGTCGTTTCTTCCTTGTTGATGACTGAGTTGAAGTCCCCGGCCACTAGCCAAGGGCCTTGTGGGCCGCGTTTGGACTGAGATAGGTCCCGCCAGAGTCTGCACCGGAGGTGGTGGGTCGGGCTTCCATAAACTGCCGCAAACACCCATGGTGGTTGCCCGCTTTGAGAAACCTGCACCAAAATAAACTGCGGATGAGTGAAAAGGACAGAGATGTGCACCGGGTCCTTCCAAAGAACCCAAATACCCCCACTAAAGCCAACGGCCTCCACTCGGATCCATTCCGAAAACCCGAGCTGTGAGCAGATTTTGTTAGCCTGATCTCCAGAAACTTTTGGTTCAAAAAGACCCAGGATATTGGGCTTGTAGACCTGTAATAAGTGCTTAAGGGCACGGCGGAACGGCCTTCCGCTCGCCCCTTGGTAATTCCATATCAAACAATCTATAAAAAAGGTACGAAAAGGGAAGCAAAAACGCACAAAAACCAAAGTAAACAAGGCAAGAGAAACAAAACCTCAATAGCCAATAGTGGCCCCATCACCATCACCTAACCCCGGGATTCCTTCCAAATCCATAACCACGTCACCTTCATCGTCAACGTGCCCTGGCGGGTCATTATGGTGTTCTTTTGTGAGATGCCAGACTGGCGATGGGAGATCGCCTGCCTCGTCCCCACCGAACACCCTTGACGAATGGATCACCAACCCGCCTTGCTCACCCCCCACAACTACATGCTCATCTTCTTCGGTTGCACGCCTTAGTCCTACTCTTTGGTTCATAATGAATCACACATTGATACCTCTTATAATTTTGAATTGAAAAAATTAAAGAAAAAAATATATTTACTAATTCAACTAATATTTTTAAAATCAAATAAATTAAAGTAATTACATATCCTACTATCCTACCATATAATAAAGCCATAAGAATTCAGTCAATCACATTGCTTAATTTTTCAGCCCAATAGAAGTGACGTCGTTTGGCCCTTAGAATGCTGCGATCATATACTTTTAATTACCTTCATATTTTAACTAATTGTATTTGTATTGGAATTAAATTAAATACTTAACTTATTATCAGCCACTTTTTTGGTTTCCCAAATTTGTGGGAAGTTGTTCCTCGTAATACTAATTTTGCAGGCCGCTGTGTCAAATCAATTCAAAATCTGGAAGAAATAAACTTTACGCAGCGTTTTTTTTTAAATAAAAATTCGCAGCCTTTAATTTGTGACGTTTCAGTATCCGGTGCTGCTTGGAACTCTACATCCTTGGAAGCTAATTATTTTTTGAACTCTACAGCCTTCAAACCTCTTCTATAAATCCTTCTATACACAAACAATCGACACTTTGCTATAACCCTCTGTGTATTTGTTATTCTCTGCCTAGCTAGACTTTAACCTGAAAATGGCTCCACCATACATCTTAGAAAAAGGACATCTGCCCAACTACATATAAGAAAGAAATTATGTCAAGATTAATATGGGCATATATTGTACCTGAAGGCCGAAAGAGTCAAGAATGTGTCTTGCACAACATTGAGGTAATATATATTTTCTTTACAAACCTGCAAACAATGCATTCTATTCATTTTTTTAATCTATGTCAAAGAAATAATCTGTTTTTTTTTTTTTATATGGAACTTATGTGCACTAAACCCTAAACCAAAGGGTTCATATTTTTACTAATCTTTTTTCTAATATTTTCTCATTTTCTGTTATTATACTAACATTTTTACTAATCTGTTCTAATTTTTTCTACTTTTGTTTTCTATATCCTAATGACTTGACATAAGCTATATGTCAAAGTAAAATACTAGATATCAGCAGAATGATTAAAGTTTCAATGAACAAAAGCAAAATACTTGATATTAGCAGAATGATCAATGTAATTTCATAAGATAATATTTAGCAGCACTTACATAATATTTGAAGTACCCAAAGCAGATTCCAGTACTTGATATTTTGGTCATGAACTATCACCCGTATCAGTGGTGGTCCCTGTAACTAAAATATTCATATTATTTTGAGTAACACAATTTAATGTTACTACAACAAACACAAGAAAAAAGTTTACTTTTTTGTACTTTATATTTTAAGCTGAATTTCATCATTGTTTGTTGAATCTGTTAAGTAATACGGAGTATATACTTAATGTTATTGTGTGTTGGACCATACCAACTGGAAAAAAAAAATCAGAGGTAGTATAAAAGCTTAAATACATTGGTAATATATTTCAGGAAATATAAATTCAGAAGTAGCATAAAAGCTTGAAGCAATATAATAATGGGGCATTCCCCTTATCTGTATAACACTTTGGTTTAGGTCATTGTTGCTGACCAGGTACACGTTTGGGAGGCAAATAAAATACCTTTTGCTCCAACCTATAGCAGAGTTGTTAAGATAAGATACTAAATGGACCTTTGTATCTTAAAATAATTGATGTGTATTATAACCAATGGGCTATACCTATAGTAGAAAAAAGCTGAGACAGATGTACCAAAACTTGCATGAGCCACAGGGTTTGAACACAACTCAAAAGAATCTGGAAGTGAGGTTGTGAAAAGATGCCTTCTGGATGAATTCTCCTCAACACAGCTTAAGGAAATCCAAATAGATAACTGTCAAGCTTATAAAATTTTAGGGTGATGAACTTTGAATCCCTTTGAAGACTTTTGGATGAAAAGCCTTTTTGAAAACAAATGAAACGCATATATTAATTCAAACATTCAGAATAAATTACATCCAAAAGAAAAGAGAGAGAAGGGACCCATTCCCTACAAATAGCACTGAATAATGCGTCCTTGGACAATGTTTTTTTAAATGTGGCATTTTAATGGTTTTTTTCAGCCATGCATTAACCCCCCAGTGGAATTTTATCATTTTATTGTGTTTCTGATCGATGTGTGGATAATCAGCCCTATGTGCTTTTTTAATTTTCTCTACTGCATTTTTTACCTAATCATTCATTTATATATCTTCTATAAATATGCTAAATTCTGTGTTAGATCTTTAAAATAAGTTGCAGGTACCATATTGCACTATGGTTGCTATGGAGACATCATTGAGTTTTATTTATGATGTAATTAGCAGTATATTACAATGCGTAGTGTAGTTAGTTATTGTAGAGAATTATGTATATAATAAATTTATTAATGAACACTTTAAATTTTTGGGATACGTTGAAAACTTCACATTGTCTTTTTTTTTTTCTTTTTTTTTCCATAATATTAGGACTTCTTTGTGGATGATGAGGATGAGGTTGAAAGTCCCATCACTGGTGTGAATGAAGTCAATGTTTTGACTGTTGATTCCAGTGGAACAGTAAAAAGGTGTCTATTGGATCAAGCCTCATCCAGAATATATTTGAAACAAATGTTGATATGCAATTTGAGGTCCACACAACAGAATTTTTAAACAGTTTAATATGTTCAGGGATTCCCAACCATTGTTTAACCTTGAAAGTTGGAACTCCAGTTATGCTACTGAGAAATATAGATCACTCCTTGGGACTATGTAATGGTACAAGGTTGATAGTAACACAGTTGGGAAATCATGTTATTGAGGCACAGATCCTATGTGACAACAACGCAGGTACAAACGTGTTGATACTAAGGCTATCATTGACTCATTCAGACCCAAGACTACTATTTAAATTTAAAAGAAAACAATTTCCACTTATGCTATCATATGCAATGACAATTAACAAAAGTCAAGGTCAAACGCTTTCACATGTGGGTTTGTTACTGAAAAAACCAGTTTTTAACCATAACCAATTATATGTAGCAGTTTCGAGGGTGAGTGATCGTGACGGTCTTAAAGTCTTAATTTGTGGGGAATCTAGAGGTCTTTTAAACAAAGAAATCATGTGTAATTGTTTTGTTTATGGAAGGCCAATAAATTATATTTTGTCTATTTATTACATCTAAAATCTTATCAATCCTATATCTTCAATATAACAAACTTTTATATCTTGCACCATAATAACATTGCCGTATATACTACAGCACTCAAAAAATTAAAGTAATGAGCAGAGTTTTCAACTTTTCATACAACCCTAAAGTAACTGAAAAGAATTGGACGAAACCTACCCAGAGTCGAACTATGCAATTACCCGACCCGCTTACGCTTTTTCAAACTCCATAATCCATATCACCGCCTCTGCGCTCTGCCCATCAAAGGCTCAAAGTCTCAAACACACCAACGCTTCAACCGCTGCTAGGCTCATAGTTCGCGACTCGCATTAGTAAGCAACAGCAATTATCATCACCTTCATCATCCTATTATACAACACTTTCAATAATGCCCAAAGGTTTTCTCTCTAATTTTGCTAATTCAATGGAATATTATTTGGTTTCATACTTGTTCAACACTGTAATTCTTCACCTTTTGGATTCACAGAGCTTCCGGGGTTCTACTATGATTCGGAGAAGAACAGGTATTTCCCTCTCAAGGGACCAATTCCTGGCTCTTCCCGTAAACGGAAATCTCCTCCGCTGCCTTCTGCTGTCAAGGTATTATTTTTGAGTACCTGTTTGTTGATGTACGGAGTAGTAATTATTTAGCGTCCCCCAACAGCTGAGACGAAAAGTTTGGACCTTTATGACCATTGCTTCATGTATAAGTGCATTTACTTTCTTATACTCGGGCATCAACATGCATAGTTGTTTTGTATGGCTTGACAATCTCATTAGTTATGAACTCAGCTCAACTTGTAGCTATTATACTAAACTCGAACTAAATGTGCCAAATACCGAATCCTATTTTCTGAAATTATTTGCTTCTTTGGTATCTTATGTGTTTAATTCTTCATTCTATTTGCATTCGTGGGTTCTTAATGCCCTAAGCACTATCATGTTATCACTCTTTGTTAACCTGGCATCAGTAGGCCTACACTGAACATGCTTGAATCATCTAAACATTTTTGCTACCAGTGTATCTTAAATTGGTTCCTTTCACACTAAGTTGTATTTATTAATAATATAATATGACTTTTATTTTGTTATGTTGTAGGGAAAAGATATATATAAATGCATGAAAATCAGAACTAGTAAGCTTCTCCAGGCAAGGGAATTGTGTGGCCAGTTGATAACTACCAGGAAAGGGAAATTCAGTTTTCAAATGGAATACCAGAAGAGACAAGCTTCACAACCTATGGTCTGGTTCATTGATTTATGATCAGTAATGTTCAAAAATTTCATGCTTGTCTCTTAATTTATCATACATCTCACATCTTAATTGATTTATATCTCCCAGAAACTCCCACTTGGCTGCACTGTAGATATGCTTCAGTGCCAATTTCTAGTTTTGTAGATGCTGTAGGCTTTTAAGACTTAGATTTTATTGTCTTAATTTTGGCATGCTTGATAATAATGTATCTACCATCAAGTAGACTTATTTTACAAAGTTAATACCATTTTCATTTGTGATGGTAATAAGGAATGCAATTGGTTTAGGTCAGAAGATTGACATTCAACCATATTCTCATGTCAGATGGACCCCTGTTAGGGGGGATAATTTTATTTTATTTTTTAAATTTTTTTGCTTTGGTTCAGTTTTTCTCTTTATTCACTCAAGAGGGATCAAAAAGCCAAGACATAGGGTTCAATTGGCCTGAGGGATTTGGGGGATTTGTATTAGTAATCTGCTCCCTGTTCCTTTGACTGGTTCAAGAGTTGAGTGCTTCAGATTGAGTGGGCCCTATCAATCAATACCAAATTTTGCCCTAAAAGCAGATAGTTGCAAGTGAACCCAATCAACCTCTTAGGAGTTAGTTCATTCGGACTGTTAGAGTATGAGAGTTCCTAGCCGTCTTTCCTATTATTCTTTTTCATCACTTGAATTTCACAAATTTGTCTAAAACGGGAAAACAGAATTGTAAAGCCCTCTATGTGTCTTTGAATATTTTCTGTTTTGACCTATATAACAAAATTTACATTGGAAAATATCTCCCTATTTTTTGAAGTTCTGCACAATGGGTTTTTAGTGGAGACAAGTTACTAGATGTGAATATTAATGGATGATTCACTGAACTAGTTATTAGATCTTGATCAGCATTGTCTTTGCTGGCCCTTGGAATTATCTTTTCTCATTTATCTTTCTCTTTTACAAGCTTCTAAACAATGAAAAATATTCTATAGCACATTTCTCATCCTATTTTATATTTCATTCAGATATGGAAGTATAACACAAAAAGAATGGTGGATAATGCATTGGAGCAGATGAGTGTTGGGGTAGACAGGCTAGAGGGCACTGTAGAAACAGATATTTTACTGACTGGCAATGTGAATGGCTCATTATGGTATGTCCAGAGGATAGTTAAAACTACTAGTAAATATCAATTTTCTTGTTTTTATGGGTGGAACCAATCTGTTAAAGTTGCTATGCTCTATGGTGCTACGGGGAATGGTGACTTTTGAAGAGTACTACTACCTGAAAACTGAAATAATGAGTGTCTATAGCTATTCTAGTACTTCTAGTCTTTTCTATGCTACTGATTGATTTATAGACATTCATCTATGCTTTGTTCTTTTTCTTTTCTCCTGAAACTATTAAATCCTCTCTTTCTTTGGTACAGTAGGGGATTGCCACTAAGCATCCAATTTCAGTTTTGTGGCATCTATTTTACTTCTGAGTTTGCTGCTACTATATGCATCTAAGTGGCTCATGATAATTCTGATTGATTCATTTTTCATCTAAGCACCTCATTATTCTCCCTGATTGGATTCTTTCAGAACATCTGTTTGTGGCTGAAAGTATTATTAAATGTCTGTATCCCTATTATGATGACCAGTCAAGAAAAATAAAAAGCTACTCAGTTTTGACAATTTTGTACTCATCTCATTCTCATATTCAGTAAATAATGCATGCTAGCTTCTTGTTTCTATCCTTATGAGAACCATACTCTGGTCTGGTTGTTATCTGAAGGATTTCCAACACCAGTTGCACTTTATGTACATGAATTTTGTGAATATGGGCTCAGACAGTTGAAGTTCTGTAGATTTTCCTTGTCTTTGAGCACCCATCCATGTGCAAAATTAGTTCTTATTTTGTTTTCTGTTTTATATTTTCGCTTTAAGTATGGACGTTGAAATAATATCTTTCATTGAGATTATATTCCTTGATATATTAGAGTTTCGTTCAACTGCAGTTGGGATTCTATGTTTTGCAATGATTCTTGTTATTGAGGTTAAATATGTATGAAATATCTCCCTTCTGTATTTGCTTGAACTTTTAGAGTGGTTGAGCACCTCTAAACCTTTCATGATTTTCCCTTCAGTTGCTTGCACAACCATTCTAATCCTTTTGCTATATTTATTTATTTTTTCTTTCAAATTTAAAACTTCAGCTGGTGTGGGCAACTATAGATCCCCTTTCAAAGTTGTTTCTTTTGAAGCTTGGTATTTTTGCAGTATATTTGAAGTAGGAAAGGTTGGAGAAGAATTTGATCATGGTTCGAAATTGCTGCCAGATCGTGTATGGCCATCCAATGCAGGAAACTCTGTGGGTTGTATTGAATCACCAGGGCTTGCATGGAGATATCCAGGAGCAATTCTAAATATGCCATCTACTATTTCTTGCATAAAGATGTGCCAGAAGCTTCATCAGCCAGTTGAAACTGCTTCCTCAAGTCGTGCTCTGTATCCTTTTAAAATATCATATGTAGCTGCTTTGCTTTTCTTTCTGTTGTGAAATATATTTAGTCACTTGTTCATTCTGAATGCTTTTAATTCTTTATTTCCTTTTTGAAATGATGACTTCATGTCTGAAAAGAAAAGAAAAGGATGTTTATACATTTGTATGACTTAACAAAAGGATGCAGGATAACTACCTTGGGGTCTGAAGGATCTGGTGGAACAGTCTATATTCTGGACCTCAGTGAACAACTTGATTTAAATTCACATTCACCTATACTGAGGAGGCTGTCTAAGATTACCTCTTTTGACTATACAGTTTGGACAGCAGACTGTAATTTTGATGGGAGTCGAGCAGTGATTGGCAAGTTCTCTCTTTCCTTTGGACTTTGAAAATGTTCCCCATCATATAGTAGCTAGCATTTTACAGATTCTATTGCATAAATTTAGAATTCTATGGCAGAATGATACATAAAATCTATTGTTAAAGTGCAAATTGCATGTTAAAATGATTGTACAAATAATCACATAACCTGACTTCCAAGTATGTGAAACATTTTGTTGTTTCACGTCATGGGTAGTTAATTTTGGGCCACGTTTGACTGAAATGTATAATCTTGTGCTATATTCAGCTATATGTATGTGCATATCTTCTGTTAGTTTTCTTATTCTTTTTACTTCCCCTGCTTTAGGCACCAATACGGGAGCTGCTCTGGTGAATATAGATACTGGAACGAAATCATGGATTTGCCGTTGTAAAAGTGATGTTTTCTCTTTACAATTAGATCAATCGGTAATTACCAACAAGTGTTCATGTTCCAGTTGTCTCCTTTGGCCTTTTTAAATCTTATGATGTTTTCTTATAAAATCAATGGGCTTCAATGTGCACATTTTCCAAAGTTGTGGCAATATCTTAATGAGACCATCATCTTTATCATCTTAAGTCAGGATACCTGTCATCTAGTGATGGCAATGGTGCGCAATGCCACCATAAATATCCAGGATTTAACTGCTTAAGTTGCTTACTGAGGAAATACACAAAAATTATAGTTAATAAGTTGTCAATCATGAAGTGTGCAATAATGCATTCAAGTCTACATGTTGTGGAGTTTGCTCTTTTAAAGAGAAGTCACTTCAGTCTCAATCCCTTTTTCTTTATTTTTAGTTGGCATGCAATAACTGCATGTACCTGTCATATCCATGTAATAGCATATGCCAGGATTCTAGATTTCAACGATCTTCCTCCTGTAGTTCTAGAAAATAGTCCTACAATTGATTTCTGAGGATTTATATAAATTGTTTGGAGTGGTCCTCTTTATTGAGAAGGTAGCATTTACTTATTGCAGGGTAATACCATATTATGTGGACTGAGAAATGGAGCTATTTTATCAATTGATGCTCGCCAAAGACCAGAGAACTTTTCCAGTAGACTTCCTAGACATCAGATTCCATACCATACTCATGAGGCTTCAAGTGGACGAGCTAAGAAGTTCCACCAAGAACGGTTTGAGGTATCAGGTCGTTTCTAATGAGCTTGATCTTGTGTGTTATAACAATTTTACTAAAGCTGTAAAATGTATTCTCTCTAGTATTTCTGAAAGCTCATACTCTTTGCTTGAACACATCATTTAAACAAAACTAATCACATTCATATGCCTATGCAGCTCAAAGGGAACATGTGCCGTTCTGATACAATATTTATGCCATCATCTATTTCTTGGTTAGTGGATTTCGCTCTTTGATCCTGCTACTTAATCCCAAAACATAAGAAGAAAAAAAATTCATATCTATTTGATGCAGATTTTTTTTAAGCATTGGATGTTCCTTTTTCTTTTGAAATTTCAGTATTGCATCTCTGGCGCTGTATGACCAGTATTTCTTGGCAAGCTCCATGGATGGATCGGTTAGTGTTCAGCCTTATCTAAATATTTGAAAATTTTACATTCAATATGCATCACTAGTCAATCCAAATATTGAGGAAGCCTTCTAAAACAGATTAGAATTTCAGGAATTATCATCATTGCAAATAGATCCAAGATAAAAATATAGAGAAATATGTTTTCCATGGAATAAATGATACTTTTTTTTTTTTTTTTGAGTACTACTGACTCTGTTACAATGTAGCATCTGTTCATAGCTACTTTCTCAACCTATTGAAGCACAAAGAGTTCAATACCGCCCCTACTGGGACTCAAACCCATGACCTCCCATTAGGGAGAGCCACTTCATGCCACTAGACCACAAGGTCATTGGCAAATGATACACTATATTTGAGAAGGTTTTATGTTGTTTTGGTTGATTAATTATTTCATTTTTTGTTATTTTAGCTTCTTCTTTTGGTTGCTTTAGCTTCTCGCCTTCTCCACATCTACTACTACTTACTACTTACTACTACAACTTATTTTTTCTTATATTATTGTTTTACCCTATAGATCTCTCATATTTAATGTGGCAGAAATACTTACTACTACTACTAATTGTTTTTGTTAAATAATGTTTAAATACTTAATTACTTGTATTTCCACAGATCAAGCTATATGATAATCGCCTAATTCAGAGAGGAGCTGTGCAATCTTATGAAGGCAACGTAAATTCTCACACACGCATACAGCTCGGAGTTGATCCATCAGAGAGTATTGTCATGTCTGGTAAGGAAAGTTAATTCTCTAGGTGCCTTTATAAAACTAATGAATCACCTTACACCGATATCCTGTCCTGTAGGTGGAGAGGACTGCTACGTGCGGCTTTGGAGCATCAAGTCAGGTGAAATGTTGTTTCGAAATAAATTCATGAATGCAATCCCCTCCGTTGTATGCTGGCCAAGAACAGGAGGTATTATTATTATTATTATTATTATTATTATTATTATTATTATTATTATTATTATTATTATTAAAGGCTTTTTGCAACACATCTTTCTTTCCCTTGGTCAGCTTATACTTAACTTCTCGAGGCTTTTTGCAACACATCTTTCTTTCCCTTAGTCAGCTTATACTTGAACTTTTCGATAGGGATTCATGGCTTGCAAAATACGACCCGAGGTGCTTGGCTTGGATCCCAAGATGGACTGTTTCATATAGGCTGGCCAGTTTAAGTTCCTAGATGGCTTTGTATTCGAAATTTCAGCTCAATTTTGACACCAGCTTTCTGGCATTTTCATGGCTGCATGTTGTGTTAATTATCTTTGTGGTAGAAGTAACAAAACAGTTGACAGGCATCAAGATGTATAGCTTTTAAAGTTGTTGATACCTTACGGCAATTTATATCCTACACCACGGCGCGCGTTGCACTATGCGCCCAGATGCAAAACGACGTCGTTTTAATTATTTTTTTTTTTTGAAATTTTCCGCCCCAGTGAATGGCAGTAGTTTTTTCTTAAAAAAAAAACCCGTTGTTCAAGAATGTACATAATGTTATACTAGAATACATATAATGTTATACATGAATGTACATAATTATATAACAAAATATACATACTCTTTTTAAAAGATAATACACATAATCTAACATAATACATAATAAACATAAACTTTTAACATAATACACATCAACTCTTAACATAATACACACAAATTTTCTGATTTGGATGTACATAATTGTATAAAAAGAATGTACATAATTGTATAAAAAATACACATAACTGTTTGAACCAATACACATAACGTTGTGAACAAATACACATAATCTCAGCAACTTCTTACCGCGCCTCCCAACACTACCCCAAAACGACGTCGTTTTGGGAGGCGCGCGGCGCGTGGTGTAGGATATAACGACCCATACCTTACCTACCCAAAAGTAAAAATTAAAATTTGGTACCTAATAAAGAGTTTATTTTACTTTAAATCTTACGAGATATTCACTTTGGGTGAGTCTCATGTGAGATAGTGCGAATGAAGTTAATATGATAGATTGATTGATTGTTACTCATAACTTATAAGAGAAAGTATAATATTTATGTGAAAAAATGTAATACTCTTTGATTAAAATATAACATTTTTAATTTCAAAATGTAATATTAAGGGTTAAAGAGTTACTTATGAGAAAAAGTGTAATATTTATTAAAAACTCGGATAGTCTCACCGATGAGGATTCGTGAGGCAGTCATAGAAGATTTTGTCTTTCACTTTTGGTTTGTTTTACATTTAAGGTCCGTTTGAAAACTTGAAAAATGGAAATTATTTTCTGGAGTTTCTAGTGTTTGGCTATTAACGAAAAATGAAGTCAATAGAAAATAATCATTTTGGTCAAAGAAAAAAGGACTCATTTTCGTAGAAAATATTTTTAGAAATTTTTATTCAAGAGACATTTTCTTAATTCTTATCTTACACTTAGCTCTGATGCTAGATGGGAAAAAAAAAAAAAAATCTCTCAACGACTTTAGGGTAAAGATTTTTTTTTTTTTTTTTTTTTTTTTTGGGGTAAGTTTCCCGCCTCGCGGATCTGGTCTCGGCCATGGAGGCCGAGGTCGAAGCGCCGCCGCCGATCGGCGGGGATAATCGGCTCCAAAGGAGGGAAATGAGAGAGTTTTTAACCGTTTCAGAATGACCAAGCGATCTTTCGCGGAGACAATGGCAGATCACCTGAGGCTGGGGACTGAACTGCCGAGAAGAGAAAAGGAGTCCAATTGGTTTGGTGATGATATTGTGATTGAAGACGATAGGTCAGATGAAGTTGTCGAAGGCGAGGAGGGTATTCGGTGGTTAACTTTCCCAAAGCTCTAAGGGAACAGTGGGCTAAACCATGGAAGAACGCTCTCATTGTGAAGTACCTAGGGAAACCGATTGCTTTATCTCTGTTTCAGCAACACATGTTGCGCCTATGGAATCCCCAAGGATTGGTGGAATTCGTCGACCTTGGCATGGGGTGGTTTATTGCCAGATTCCAACCGCAGCATGACTGCCTTCATGCATTAGTGGATGCCCCTGGAAGCTATTCGACCAGTACGTGGTGGCACAGAGATGGAGACCCGACTTCGACCCTTCATCGGCAAAGGTTGAAAGGATGGCGGTTTGGGTCCGGCTCCCGGTTGAGTTTTTTTTTTTTTTATAGAGGATGCGACCAAATCAATCCTAAAGAACATCAGTACCCCGTTGAAACTTGACACCACAACTGCGGGAGTGGAGAGAGGGAAATTCGCAGGGAGTAGCGGTCGAGATTGAACTCACTAAACCCCTGGTGGTGTTGGTAAATGTGGAAGGTGGAATGCAAAAAGTGGAGTTTGAAGTGCTGCATACTATTTGCTTCGATTGCGGGGAGGTCGGACATCGCTCTGCAGACTGCCCAAGAAACCAGACGACTCGTGAGGAGGTTCCTTCTGAGGTCTTGGTACGTGAAGGGGAGGTTACGGAGTCAATGAACGTTCAACAACCAAAGCCGATAGTCCCTATCAAAAGGCATGGGGATTGGATGATTGTTGGTCGTAGGAATAACTCCTAAGCTCCAAACCAGTCCAAGGCAAAAAATAAAGATCCGACAGAGGGCAGGAAGCAGATGCCTAAAGGACCAGTCCATCAAAGCCATGCGGGGGCTGGTTCGACGTCCAAAAATGCGGGGAAAGGGGCTCCGGTTGGCATTGGGAAAGCGGCGGCAACCCATACGGCATCAATAGTTCCAGGTAATGTCCCAGCTCCTAACTCTATCCCAATTGGTAACTTCTTTACTTGCCTGCAGGATTTGGAGGGCTTAACAGACACTCCTATCCGCTTTGAGGAGGAACCAAGGAATAAAGGTGGAACAAAGTAACGTAACCAGCGCAAAGACTCTAAACAGAAAAATCAAGAGGGTGGTAAGTCCATCACGACCCATAAACGGGGTGAAGGCACTAAGGGTGCCGCTTCTTTGAACAAGGATTCTGTCTTTGTGTTTGGTAGTGTTCTTGTTTCAGGGTCTGGCAGTAATGTGTGTAACACCCCGTGTTATGGCCTTCAAATCCGAACTAATTATTAAATTAATTCCGTTAATTAAAATAATTAAGAGGGATTTAATCCAATTATAATTCTCTCAAGTAATCCAGGCGGTCCGCAATGGATCGTGGACCTTTGCCTGAACTAGGAACCTTAAGCCCATAGGGAATAAGGAAAGTGGGCCTTATTATTCAGACTCTGAATAGATTTCCCTTAAACATATAAATAGGAGATTAGGAAGCAGATAAGAACTCTCCCTCACCTTCTACTTACTCGAAATACTCTCAGGAAATCCAGCCGAGGAAATCCCCCACGAGCAAGCTTAGGAAGATCAATTGGTAGAAGAATCTTAGGGAAGAACCTTAGTAGCCAAGGGAAATCGGTTAGGGCTAAGAGGTAACCCATGTCTTACAAAACCTATTTTCCTTGATATATCTTATTTATTGGCTCCTTTGATAATTCTATGGATGATTCTGTGATTGAGTCTTGATAGAGCCCTTGCCTAGGATTTATATTGTGTTTATTTGATAATCTTGATGATCTTGATGTTGTGGATTGATTATATGTGTGATCTTGTATTTTAATTATGTCTAGAGCTTATCCCTAGGGTTTATATCGTGAATCTCGTTGTTGTGATGTTCTTGGTATATTTGGGTGGGATTATACATGATCGGGTGTTGAGTCTAGCCTAAGATTTATCTTTAGGACTTTGCATATAGATTTCTTGATGTCCTTGAGGTTCCGGATGCTCCTGAACCGTTATATGATTGATGTTGAGTCTTGGCATGTTTAGGAATCGTGTTAGAACTTATTTGGAATGATTCTTGGTTTAGTCTTCGTTAGTTGAATTTGTGATATTATTGTTGCGTGTTGGAACGTGTTTGGACATGGTTTCGAGTTCCCCGAACGAACCCAAACCGGATTTTCTACCCTCGTACCAGTGGGGGGTAGGTGGGGGGACGAATCTCCACCACCTACCCGCTGCTCGTTGCCCTCTTTCCAGCGGGCAGTCGCCTGCCCGTCGGGCAACCGCTGGAAACCAAGGCCGCCGCCAGCGGGTAGTCCTCCACCCGCCGCCCACCCGCTGGAAAAGTTGGTGGGTCGTGATGTTTTTTCCCGTTTGATGTTTTCCCGTGTCTCGTTGTACCCTGTTTGACGTGTATGAGTCTCGTTCGATGTTTTGAATACCGTTCTAGGAATTTATGTGTAGTACGTGTCGTTGTTGTTATGTCTTGATTGTTATTGATTGATGATGTGTTGATTGATTGAATGATGATGAGTATCGTGGTCATTGCGCAATGATCGGTGTGACTAATGATGATGAGATTGTGATTGGTGGAAATGAATTGTTGGCGGAAAGCACTACGAGTGCTCGGTTATCGTGCTAAAGGCACAGACCACCCCTTAGACTAGCTAGCTAAAGGCCTGGGTCAAGGTATAAGCGCCGTGGTGTCATGTTAGAGCTATATGCGCTAACCCCTTAGTATTGGTACTAGAGGTACGGACCATGCGAATGACACTTCGGTGCTACCATGTTGGTGGTTACGGAGTGGGGCATGTAGTTGCTCCGAAGGAATAAAGAGGAGGTATAAGGGTGGCCTGGAGGTACAGGTTGGAACTGAAATAAGGATGGAGTGGAGTGAAAAGGTTGGAACTTGGTATGAGGTTGGAAGATGGATTGTGTGACTTGATGATTAATTGCCGATTGACTGTCTGGAATCCCTTTGTTGTCTCTATTTGCTATTTATAAGCTTATCTGTCTATTATGTTTTGTATCGTGTTCTTAGGACGCATGCTAGCCTTCATTATTATAGTGTCAAGTCTGTTGTTGTGTCTCGAGTCTTGATCTTGGTTTAAAGCTAGAGTTGCTCAGGCTATATATGTATTCCAGTTTCAAAACGATTTCCTATATTATATTTATTGTACTCAACGCGTGGGAGTGGGTTACGCAGCATTATTCGCTGACGGTTGCTACGATGTATTTTTCAGGTGACAGTCTTTAGCTAAGGAGCGCGTTAGACGGTTCGTGGATCTAGCTTAGTGGTAGTTAGACGGCCCGTGAGCTTTGAATTGTGTAATCAAATATTAATTATAGTTTATACCTTATTCAGTTAGTTTAACCTGTGCATCTAGGTTCTCAAACCTAGATGTGGCATAGCACCTAGACAATTGTGTTTAGTTTATGCTCTGTTTGGGATAATCAATGGTAGATTGCGTTATTTATATAAGCTTTTAATCGCTTTAAAAATTAGGGGTGTTAGAATGTGGCTTCCACCTCGAGGGGGGTGTTTCTTAATCTGGCTACGCGTAAGGAAGGCGATAAGCCACTCTATGATTATGGTTTCATGGAATTGTT